GAACTAAGTATAAATATTTAATAAATTTCACAAGAATAGTCCATTTGTCCCAGACATATCCTAATTCCCTCTAGAAGTAGGTGGGGCAATTCTGAATTGGAGAACTCTCAGATATGTTGAAAACGTGTAAATCTGATGTTAGAATTTAAAGTCTGAGCTGATCAGTCATTCTCATCAGCTAGTTTTTTCTTATTATTGAAGAGGATATATGTTTAATATAAACTAAGGTCTTCCCTGCCATCAGTCATTCTCATCAGCTAGTTTTTTCTTATTATTGAAGAGGGTATATGTATTTTTTTTATCTCAAAAAAAGAAAGGTCTTCCCTGCCATTACTAAACAATCAAAAGCGAAGACTTTATGCACTCTGTAGAGTTGTGTTGGTCTAGCACTGGATGGTCTTACCCCAAAGAGTATTTTATCCATCTCTTCGAGACAAAATAGACCTTCCACCCCAAGAAATCAGTAAGGTTAGTTATTCAACTCCTACAAATGGATACTGCAAATTGTAGAGCTGCTTAAGCTTAAAAAGGAAAATTCATCTATTTTAATCCATGGCGGGATTTGTCTTTTCTTTTTTGTGTGTGCATGTGTATGTGTCCTGCAGCAAGGAACTGTCTTGATTTTGTGAGAAGATATTTCTTCTGCTCCTGCTACTTTCTTGGCCTGTATACAATTCTATTGTCATGGTCATCTTCTATTGGATTTCAATGGTCAATAAAGTATCCAAAGCAACCTGCATCATGGTGCAGATATTATGGTGCAGATTGCAATCCAAAGATAGTGAATGTTCTTCATTAGTTATAGGTAACAAAGTTAACCAATATCATTTAACTGCCAAATAAATGCCAATAGGAACAATCTGAAGGCTTTTTTAAATGCTCTTTGTTCCTTAACAAAGAAAAATGAAGATCACTTCGCTCTCTGTTCTTGTCATTTCTTTTCCCCATCTTTAGGCCATATAACTTTTATACTTTAGGATGCTTACTGCTTGCAATATGCTACGAAATCTCTTGAGGCATGAAAAAATAGGAACAAGTAGCCTAATCTGAACTTTCTTTCTTGATATGCTGTATTCAAATGAACTCATGGGCACTGTGTTCTTGCCCTGACATTTGGCTCTTGACTATATTCTCAAGGTAGTCAGGATTTAAGCTTTGTGTGATTTGTGGATCCTTGGGTGAAAATTAGGTGAAACAGGGTAATTATGTGAAATAGGTAGTCACTTTCCTTCTATATTCTTTCCTTATTTTATTGTTTCTTGTGTATGACTAAAAATGAGAAAACTTATTGACATATAAGTTTATGAATGATATTCTCTGGTAATTCTGTTGCTGCATTGTCCTTTGTGGCATCACTTGTCTAAGAAGAAGAACCATTTTTCTGATTTTTGTTCACGGTAATGATATCCAGTTGGCTTTGGCAGCAATTTTCAACGAGATCTTATTCAAGAGATGTGTAAAACTTTGCGGGTCTTAAATGCTGTACGTGATCCTGAGATTGGCATTCCTCTTAGCATCCAGCAGTATAAGGTTTAAAACTTATTTAGCATGTGAACTTAGTTGCTGCATTCCACACTGCTTTCTTGAAATTGAACTGAATACATATGTTGCATTCAGTTACTCACAGCATCTGTTCTGATTAGCCGTTTAATTAATGCCCATCAACACCTTCTTGCTCTGCGGATATCAGAGTTCCTTGGAATGAATCAGTAAGCTTAAGTTTTCTTATTGTTTTATATGAGGATTTCCCAATTATTTATATCTCACATATGAATTATCTTGAAGCTGTACATAAAACTTGCTCTCTTTTAGCAGAAACTTATTCTTTGTGTCATCCAACTGCAGTTATGGTGTGCCATTATTTCAATATTAGATTTAATAAGGTCCCACGTGATTATCACTTTTTTTTTCACGATTATTATCTTCGTTTTTTCTTTTTCCTCGTTCTTCTTTTGGTTTTTGGCCCATGCAGTAATTGCCCTCATATCCAAGGCGAAAAATGACATGATTTTCTATGTATTTGCTCTTATGACGAACTTATCAATTATTTGTGGTTGGTCAGCCTTTTCTTCTAGTGGTAAGGCAATGTTAACACTCTCAGGAATGATAATCTATCACATAGCATTCTCAACTATAAATGCTATTTCTGCTCACTTGTTGACCTTGTTTATTCCTTATTTTGTTGATGTCTAGTATTCTTGTTATCTTGATGTACTTTATTACGGCTCAGTAGACAAAATATCCTGTACTTTTTAGTAAACTATTTTCTTTATATTTCAGCAATTATTGGAAATAATAAATGGAAAAATTTTGTTCATGAACCCTTGGGGACATTTTTGCAGCCTTTCTTTTGAGAAGTAAAGAACATAAATATGCATATGGTTGCTTATTTCTCCTTGTGGGATATGTATAGGAAGTGGTGATAATGCACTGGGCCTGTTCAAAGATTACAACTTCATTGGCAATTCCAGATGTCATGCTTCTCGAAATCTTGCTTGATAAGGTTTTCTTTTCTTTTGAGTTTTCAAATCTACCCTAGAATTACATGGTCTTTAATTCAATAGGTCTGGTTGATTATCTTGAACTGATGTGCTTTGAAGTTTCAGCTTAAATTATGCAAAGGAATATCTTACGCTGCGGTGGCTGCTCATGCGGATAAGAGTGGCCGGCGGAAATTAGCTGCTATGCTTGTTGAGCATGAACCACGTTCTTCAAAACAGGTTATCTTCCTTTCCCCTGTGAATATAGTTTACATTACTCTGAAAATTTTCAGCTTGTAGTTAGTTCATTATGATTCTTTCACTTCCATTGTACATCTGTTATGCCCTGTGAATATAGTTTTGATTTTTGTAAAATCACTTCAGGTTCCTCTGTTGTTAAGCATTGGAGAGGAAGATACAGCTTTGACGAAAGCAACTGAGAGTGGTGATACCGACCTCGTTTATCTTGTTATTTTTCATATTTGGCAAAAAGGTATTACTCTTCAAGAAGATTGGTTTTTATGTTTTGTTGTATTATGCCATCCACATATATCAACTAGAGGTAATAGTTATGGAGCATAAACAAAGGGATTCCTTGATTCATAGATTTTTCATTTGATGCAGAGGCCACCGTTGGAGTTTTTTGGAATGATTCAAGCGAGACCTCTAGCACGAGATTTATTTACAACATATGCACGGTAGATACACTTGTTTCTTATTGAATAACATGATGAGAATGTCTGAAAAACTTATGGTTACCTTGTGGCGAAATAAATTCTGAAGCATGCTTGTGAAAAAATACAAATTATAACCTTGAATCATGTGTCTTCAAAAAAAATTTGGGATTTTTTTATTTCCTGCAATGAGGAGGTACAAGCATCAAGTTGAAGAATGAGAGTTAAGTGGCTACTTATGTACAAAAAAAGGAAGTGAAAATCTAAAGGTGGTCATGCCATTTATTTAGTTTTTTCTCTAAGCGGATTCTTTTTATTAAATAGCCACGAAACTAGAGCTAACCGCAAAAGAGGGCTTCCTTGGTTCCAAAGGGAAAGTTGTACAAGAAAAGGAATTAAGATGGTGACATGACAGTGACAGACTGACAGGAGGATGATGACATTGGGAGTTGTATATAAATTTGGTGTTATTGACATGTACATAGTGAATTTGAGAGATTGTAATAAGCAAACTTCGCTTTATATTACATATAGTGGAGTTTTTAACTTCAAAAAGATCTATCATAACAGAATGTTCAAGTGGTTTAAAGGGCTGACTAGTTGATGATAAAGTTGACAACTGGGAAAAGCATATTTACCAGAAGAAAGGATTCTGCTTCATTTTTCAATGATGAAAGATTTTGTTCGCTATGAAAGAAATCGAGGAAATAAACACTTTTGGGAATTTTTTCTCATGTTTAATGATTTCATAAATTGCTTATATATTATTTATGATGTCAAGCGGTGATCTATAAAGCTTGGTGCTAAATAATTGTGAGGTTGTTTATTTCAAAAAAATAATAATAATAATAATTGTGAGGCTGTGATATTTAACGATAATATATTTAAGGTAAAAGAAGTATAGATGAATATTATCTCAAATTAGTGCTCAGGCTTTCCAGCCTTACATCGAAGAATTATCCTTTGGCTGTCAGTCATTCAAGTGTTTGTACTTTTCTTATGTTTGATCACTTCTCTTGTTTTGTTTTTCAGGTGTTATAAATATGAATTCCTGAAGGACTTCTTCCTCTCCACAGGACAACTTAATGTAGGTTTTACCTTCAGAATTTAATTTTAATTTGAAATAATGTGCTGAGCAGAATATGAAAAAGTCGATGTTTGGTTTCATGTGAACTGGTAAGTGCAAAGGATATTTAGCATTGGAAAGAATTGGGGTTACCATGTAAGATGCTCCAATGACCATCCTTAGTCTTATGAATAATAACATATGTGTTGGAAAGAACTGAACCATCAATTGCCTGGTCACAATATATTCCCCTTTACCTATGGTGATCTGAAAATGTGAATTTACTCCCCTAACATACTGGTTTCGTCCTGTATATATATATTCTACCTTGTTTCTTTCTTTGATGATGAGTGCATATCCTATAGCCTTGATTGTAGATATTTCAAGTTAAATGTTCTACCTCTAGTTTTTGTTTTTGAAAGAGAAAGAAGAATGTTGTCAAAGGCAACAAGGGAGCGCCACTATAGAAGGAATTCAAGAAGAGAATAAGTTAAAAGGTACCTAAAAGCCACAACAAGAGAGGGGCTATGGGCATAGAGAGGTACCCGAAGAGATAAGCAGACAATTAGACTTATTCTTTTCGGCTATCATTTGAATTATTTGGAAAGAGAGGAATGGAAGGACCTTTGAGGGGATAGAAGGCATCTTTGATAGTATTTAGGAATCTTGGTTTCAGGTCGTGAGTATTTTGATTAAGGGTCAACCTTTGTATTTAAGTTAGGATTTGGGAGACCTTATTGATGTTTTGTTAAACTTGTAAATCTTTGTGTACGGGTTACATCCCCTTGGTGCTTTATGAATGGTAACACATTTTTTGTTCCAAAAAAATAATCTAAAAGACTCCCTAAATCATCTCTATTCCCAAGAGATGACTTTTGAACAAAACACACAAGATCTGGAATAAATAATCTCTAATCTTGTCAAAAAGAGAGTAAATAATCCCTAAAACTCTTTTGTTATTTCTTTCTGTCCATATTGTACTACTTTTTATGTTTCTAGACATGGTTTAACCATAAACGAGAAAGACATTCTCATTAATTATGATGCCGGTTCTCTTTTCTTGTTTATTACTGGCAAAAGTAGCTTCACTTAGCTGATTTTGGTGGGTGTGTTTGTGCATCTTCTGGGATTTGGTCAGGAAGTAGCATAGTTTTGAATTTCAAATGTAATTAAATTAGATATGTCTCTTGGAAAGGAGTACATAGATATGGGCTTTATAATGTATGCAGATATCTAGAGGAAAAACAGTAAGTGGGTAGCGAATGGAGGGCTCTAGTTTGCTTATGGTAAATCCTGTAAATATTCTTCCTTTGCCAATTTGATATTTTGTTGAATGTTATGTAAAAATATTAAGATAAGTTATATTTACTGTTATTGCTCACTGTTATTTTATTCTTGTTAGACAACCAAGCATCCGTAACCGAATGCTAGCTGTCATTTAGTAGGAAAGGTTGTTAATTTGTTTTGTTTTTTCCTTTCTGTTTTGCCTATAAAATGAGGCACAAAACTTGATGAAATAAGATGAAAAAATGAGTTTTTCTTACTCTCAAAATCTTCATGGTATCAGAGCATACCTGATCTAAATTCTTCAGCATCCCTCTTGCATTCAATAGGCAATAGATGAACAGATTTCCTCTGTGTCCGAAGTCCTTTCGGGCTCTTATCTTCCGGTATCTGACAACCATACTCTCACTGACCTGGCTCCTTTCGTTACTGGCCATCAACTAAATGGCATTAACTATCTACAATGGTTGTCCTCGGTGTTAATGTTCATCCGAGGGAAAGGGCAGGACGAATACATCACTTGAGAGCTCTCACCACCTCCTGCGAATAATCCAAATGCTCGGACATGGAAAGTAGAGAACAATCTTGTTATGTTTTGGTTGGTGAACTCAATGACCACCGAGATTGGAGAAAATTTTCTCCTTTATGAGATTGCGCACGATATCTGGGTCACAGCCCGTGAATTCTACTCTACCTGTGACAACACTTCTGCCATCTTTGAAGTCGAAGCAAGTCTTCACGACCTGCGCCAAGGGAAAAAGACGGTAACCCAATATTACAATTTTCTTACCCGAAAATGACAGCAACTTGACGCTTTTGAGGAACATGCTTGGAGCTGTCCAGAGGATGCCAGGAGATTCCGAAGCATCGTGGAATAGAAACGATTATTCAAATTTCTCTTCGGACTGAACAACTATTTCGACGAGGTAAGAGGACGCATCCTTGGAACCAAACCCCTACCGAACATCAGAGAGGTGTTCTCTGAGGTGCGACGCGAAGAAAGCAGGAAGAAGGTGATGAAGGGGGTGAATCACAACTCAGCCCTAACCTTGCTGAAAGCAGTTCTCTCTCACCCTAGGTTGGTGTAGCTCTCACAAGTCGGGTGACTGAGCGGAAAGGACGGCCATGGTGCGAATATTGTAAAAAACCTGGGCACGTTCGTGGAAGATGCTGGAAGCTTCACGGAAAGCCAGCTGAAAAGAAGTCACCAAAGCAGGAGACTCATCGGGGCAATTTTATCTTAATTGAGGAGGAATCAGCTGCAGCCGTTCCTATCGAAAGTCTATTTAGTCCTGAACAGATCAGCCTCCTTCAGAAAATGTTTTCTCCCAATATGGTTCTTGGTAATGTTTCCACAGCTCATAAAGGTAATTTTTCTGATCTCTCAACTTATTCCTTAAAAAGGGGCATGTGGATTATTGACTCGGGTGCTTCTGATCATATGACTGGGGATATCTCACTATTTAAGGAATACAGTAAGTGCAGAGGTAAATTCTCATTTAAAATTGCTGATGGCTCCAGTTCCCAAGTCGAAGGAACATGAATAATTGCACTATCACCCAAGCTAATTTTGTATTATGTGCTATACGTTCCAAATTTGGATTGCAATCTCCTGTCAATAAGTAAACTATCACAGGACTTGAATTGTATAGCTACATTTAACTCTAAACTGTGTGAATTTTAGGACTTGGACTCGGGGAAGACGATTGACAATGCTAGTATAGATTCAGGTCTTTATCTACTGCAAGCTGACAACTCTTCTCTTAGTAGACAAACTCATCATGCAGTATGTACTAATTCTGAATCTGTAAACAATTTAAATAAGGAATGCCCTATCATGTTATGGTATTACCGTTGAGGACATCCTAATTTCTTATACTTGAAAAAGCTATTTTCTATTTTGTTTCGAAATAAAAATTCAATTTCCTTTCAGCACGAAGTATGTCAACTGTCCAAACATATTCAAAATTCATTCCCAGTTCAGTTTACAAACTCACAAAACCTTTTTCATTAATGCATAATGATGTATGGGGTCCCTCTCGGGTTACTAATATCACCGGGACAAAATGGTTTGTATTCTTTGTTGATGACCACACTAGAATCACTTGAATTTTTCTCATGAAAGAAAAATCTGAAATTGGTAAATTTTTTCAAAAATTTCACACTATGATTAAAAATCAATTTTACACTAAAATTCAAGTATTGAGATCAGACAATGGGTGTGAATACTTTGAAACCACTTTGAGACAATATTTTTCTGACTACGGCATTATTCATTAAAGTTCATTTATTAATACTCCACAACAAAATGGCATAGCCGAACGAAAAAATACACATTTTTTAAGTAGCCCGATCAATCATGTTCACTATCCATATTCCAAAATTTTTTTGGGAAGAGACTGTTCTCACCACTGCATACTTGATAAACCGCATGCCCTCCCGAATTCTTGCATTTCGAACACCTTATAATACACTCTTAAAGGTCTTTCCACGATCTCATATCCTTCATATCATTTCCTACAAAATTTTCAGTTGTTCAGCCTATGTCCATGTTCATACTCACCTCAGGGGTAAACTTGACTCAAGGATTATTAAATGTGTTTTTGTTGGATATTCACCAAATCAAAAAGGATACAAATGTTTTTGTCTCAGGCCTCGTCGTTTCTACACCATTATAGATGTTACTTTCTTTGAAAACCAGTCATTTTATCCCACTACTGATATTCAGAGGGACAATATTAATTAGGAATATCAAGTATGAGATATAAGTACACCACCTCTCACTTCTCTTCCCCAGTCTATTCTCACACCACCTCTTACCTCTCTTCCCTAGTCTATTCCCGAGTCCTCATCAAATTTCTCTGAAACCAGTATCAAAGAGTCTGAACCTGAACCTGTACCTATTACTATCAACAAAGAATTACGTGTCGTGAGTCTATTCCAGTTCTGAGCACTAGGACACATCAGGTAATGAGTTTTTAGGCACAATTTCTGATATTGTTACTATTATAAACTATGATACTGAATTACCTATTGTCTTGCGGAGAGGAACTCGATCTTGTACTATACATTCTATACAGGATTATGTTTCATTCAGCAACTTGTCTTCAAAGTATCATACATTTGTAAGTAAGCTTGATGGCAGCTCCACTGAATCTAAAACAATTCATGAAGCCCTTGCACTACCAGAGTGGAGAGATGCTATTCAAGAAAAGATCAAGACTCTAGAAAAGAATAAGACTTGGGAACTAATAGAACTTCCACCTGGAAAACATAAAGTGGGTGCAAATGGTTATTCACTACAAAACACAATCCTGATGAAAGTGTGAATCGGTACAAAGCTCGTCTAGTGGCTTCACTCAGTCCTACGGGATAGACTATCAGGAGACATTCGCCCCAGTGGCTAAGGACAACACTATCCGGATATTACTCTCTCTTCCTTCTAATCTTGATTGCCCTCTCTGTTAACTTGATGTAAAGAATGCATTTCTCAATGGTGATTTAGAAGAAGAGATATATATGGAAGTTCTTCCGGGCCTTGAGACCACATATGAATCTCACAAGGTGTGCAAACTCAGAAAGACACCCTATGATTTAAACAATCTCCGAGAGCTTGGTTTGACAGATTCACCAAAGTAGTCAAACATATGGAGTATGAGCAGTGTTAGTCTGATCATACTTTGTTTGTTAAGAATAGTGCCTCAGGTAAGAAAACAATTCTAATTGTTTATGTTGACGATATTATTTTAACAAGTGATAACATAGAGGAAATTTAGAAACTCAAAATTTTTATTGCTACGGAGTTTAAGATAAAAGATCTTGGAGTACTCAAGTATTTTCTGGGAATGGAATTTGCTCGTTCTAAAAAGGAGATATGTGTGTCACAACGGAAATATGTTCTTGAGCTACTGAAAGAAACAGGGATGCTTGGGTGTAAACCAGTAGAAACACCTATGGAAACGACTACAAAAGTTGGTTTTAAAACCAATAGCAAGCCAGTTGATAAAGAAAGATATCAGAAACTTGTAGGTAAACTTATTTATCTCGCTCATACTAGACCTGACATCAGTTTTGCTGTTAGTACTGCAAGTCAATTCATAAATCAACCTATTGATGATCATATGAATATAGTATATCGGATCCTAAAATACCTTAAGAAGACTTCAGGACAAGGATTATTTTTTCATAAAACAATGAACAGGAATATTGAAATCTACATATGCAGATTGCGCGGGTTCTATAATTGACAGAAGATCCACATCTGGGTACTATACTTATGTTTGGGGAAACTTAGTCACTTGGCGGAGTAAGAAACAATCTGTTGTATCACGAAGTAGTGCAGAAGTTGAACTTCGGTCACTTGCTCATGGAATATGTGAGGGGGTTTGCTTAAAAAGGATTCTAATGGAAATAAAATTCTCAATTACTACTTCCATGAAAGTATGGTGCGACAATCAATCAACAATCAGTATAAATAAAAATTCTGTACATCATGATCGAACTAAACATGTGGAGATAGATCGGCACTTCATCAGAGAAAAAATTGAAGATCAAACTATTACAATACTTTATGTTCCTACTAGTCAGCAAACTGTAAATATTTTAACAAAGGTACTTCCCAAAGGATCCTTCAAAGAATTGATATCAAATCTAAGCTTACTCAACATTTATGTAACTTAGATTAAGGAGGAGTGTAGAAATATTAGGATAAGTTATATTTACTGTTATTGCTCATTGTTATTTAATTCTTGTTAGACAACCAAGCATCCGTAACAGAATGTTAGCTGTCATTTAGTAGGAAAGATTGTTAATTTGTTTTGTTTTTTCCTTTCTGTTTTGCCTATAAAATGAGGCACAAAATTTGATGAAATAAGATTAAAAAGGAGTTTTTTCTACTCGCAAAATCTTCATGTTGGATGGCTAATTTGCAAAAAGGGAGCTTAAATCAGCCCAAGCGTCCTTCTTTAGCTAATTCTGTATTTGCCTGCATGTGGGCCGAATTGCCTGCCTTGCCTAATATGAAGTTTTCCAAAAACTTACAGGAGGTGGCTTTCATTTTGTGGAAAGAATCATGGGAGCTAGGAAAAAATCCAATGGCAAGTAAAGGATCTCCAATGCATGGTCCACGCATAAAACTAATTGAAAAGGCCCAAAACCTTTTTGCAGAAACCAAGGAGCACACCTTTGAGTCTAAGGCTGCTGAAGAGCATGCTAAGTTGTTGAGGTAATAGACGTCAGTTCTTCACAGGTGTAATTAAAATAAATGTTGGTTCCAATTATAGTTTTTTTATCAGGTTTCTGGATACAGTTATGTTGCTGTGGTTGTAGTTCTGAATGCCATCCGTACTAAAATAACATATTCTGCAATTTGTATTAGTTTGAAATGTACCAAATGAATGTTGTCATAGTATTTTTTTTTTCCGATAAATGGAAAGACGGAACACTTTTTTTTCTTTCCATAGTGCAAGAAAGTATTATTAGAAAGAACAGGAGAAACACATCATTGGAGGATTAGATATCCTCTTGAAAGGAATAGAAACAAAAAATAGAACTGCTGACAAAGCTCAATAGAAGATAAACAGCAAATATCCATAAAAAACAAACCAAGAATAATCATTAAAATCTTCATGTTTCTAAGTCAAACGAACACCAAGAAATTTTCTTCAATATTTTCAAGCTTTCCCTTGCTAGCAAATTTTCCACCTGATTATTTAGATAATAAATTATTTTAAAAAATATTTAGATAATAAATGGGCTACTATGGAGCATATTATAGTAATTTTCTTCATGAATGATTAAGGTAACATGGAAACATGTAATTCAGATGTGACACATGTAGTCCCATTTTATGCACTAAATATTTGGATTATCTCATGCATAATGGAAGGTTTTCATTATAATTAAATAGAAGTATCTCTGGCAACTTAACTAGGACAATTTGTAATTTCTAATTAGGTGATTGTGAGATAAGCAATCTCCTCATGGTACTGAAATCTTGTTTGGATATGGAACAGAAAGCATTTTCTTAAGATTGCACAGCTTTACATTATCAGTTAATGGTCTCTGATTTCATCTCATTCATTCATTTTCCCCTTGCCCCTTCTCTTTTTATTTCCTGGAACATCTGTTTATACTTTATTAATTTGTTATCGTTTCTGTTTGCAGGATACAGCATGAGCTGGAAGTTACAACGAAACAAGCTATTTTTGTTGATTCAAGCATCAGTGATACAATACGTACATGTATCGTTTTGGGAAACCATCGAGCTGCAATGAAAGTGAAAAATGAATTCAAGGTCTGTAAAGTTCTGATCTAACTGGAGCTTTTCTCATTCTTTTGGTGAATTTTATTTTCTTGGATGAAACAAAATTCATCTATCCGTCACAACTTATGTGCCTTAATTGTAATTTAATTCTTATCTTTTCATTTCACAATTTTCCCCATAACTACTTTATTTTTGCCTTCTCTCAGGTTTCAGAGAAAAGGTGGTATTGGCTTAAAGTATTTGCTTTGGCCACGATCAGAGATTGGGATGCTTTAGAAAAGTTCTCAAAGGAGAAAAGGCCACCAATAGGTAAGGTTTGCCTGGGAATAAGTTGGAGACTCTGGTTAGTTTAGCTAGTTACTGCTGGTTACTACAGAAATATTAAAAATGCGCGTTTTAGTATAAATTACCATCCAATACTTGATGGCTACCTTTTACGTTTTGTTAATCTGAATTCAATGTTTTGCTCTTCCCATTAGTGACATGGAAATTGTTTGGTTATTTACATGCATTTGGTGTGTTATAGGCTACCGGCCTTTTGTTGAGGCATGCGTTGATGCAGATGAGAAAGGTGAAGCACTAAAGTATATCCCAAAGCTTGCAGATCCTAGAGAAAGAGCTGAGGTAATCTTGCTTGTCCATGATGTTATTAGACACGCGCTTCAGGTGTTGTTGCTTTCATAGACTTAATTATTGTGTTTTGCTTGATTTCTAATATAACTAGAGGAAAGGAAAAGAAAACCTGGATTTTTGTTGGTGTTTCAGCCAATTTGAATGTTTAGAACGCCACTATGATTCCACAATGATCTCTAAGAAAGTTTCTTTCTAGATCCTTGCTCGCTGTCAGACACTTGTCTTTAATTTTCTTTGACAGGCTTATGCTCGGATTGGGATGGCTAAGGAAGCTGCTGATGCTGCGTCTCAAACAAAAGATAGTGAATTGCTTGGGCGATTGAAATTGACTTTTGCACAAAATGCAGCGGCTTCATCAATTTTTGATACTCTTAGAGATCGATTGTCCTTCCAAGGCGTTTCTTAGTATACGTTTCCTGATGTACCAGTTGCAGTTTCAGTTTACCAGGTGTGCATAGTTTTCTCAGATCACATTGGGCTGGCTGATTTGAGAGTATACTTTTCCTTAAGGGCATCATGTTTGTACCATTGAGCCTCCGAAAGATATCATTCAGTTTTTTGTGTTGTTTATACATAATCTAAAGGGTGTACAGCAAATGAAATGGTTTTGAGTTACAAGACCATGGTTGCAGTTTGATGCTGTGTGAGTTTTGCTCTTTCCTTGAAATATGGGGAAAAAGCAGACTAGCCAATGTGAAGTTCAATTTTATTTGTGTTTTTGTGCTCACGTGTATTTTTTTCTTTAAGTTCTTTTTG